GCAATTTACGTGAACACGATATCGTCCCCGTTCCCGTTCCCGCAGAACAGCTCGCCCGGTTTTCGACGAGGGGGGTAAGGTCGTTCCCGTGGCCGCGGCGTTCTGGGTGCGCGGCGATTATTAAACGCACGAAATTACTGTTAATACACTCGACGGTGAACGCATCGGCTTTAATTGGTATGCGCCGAGTACCATTAACGTTTTAATTAGCGGCGAGCAAGCCCTGATACGTCGGCCGACATTTCCTCCGCGCAGCGATCGATGCTCCGGCATTACCAGCTAAACGGCAACATTCTATTTATAGGCATAACAAACACATTTTGTTCGATGCGCTCTCGCGCTCGCGCATTCACGTTCACACGCGATCCCACACGCACGAGAACCGACCGAGGAAACCTACACTGGTTCCTATGCGTCGGGAACACACCAAGAAATCCAATTAACACCGACGCCGACACGGATTTTTATCTGCTCGCTACACCTACCCTTCCAACGCCATATTTTCCCTCCCCCGTTCCTCTGCTGCCGTCTCGTCGACGGTCCCTTTTAGTCCTACAACTTCTCCATTCCGCCCGGAAAAAGATCCTTCAGACACTTTCGCTCCATTGTCGAGAGACGTTTCCTATCCGCCATCTAAACCAGCAGACGCTTCGGGTTGCACCCTTTCGGGGATGAAACGCTCGCCGGAAGGAAGTTAAACAAACACGGACCAGGAGAGCCGGCTTTCCTAAGGGAAACGTTAACGTTAAGTCGGCCGGGCACGTGAATCGGACGGATTTTCACGGGGATTTACATTTTTATGGGCCGCAATTAACGAACGGTTTGTTTACCTCCCTGTTAGGGATTCCGCGCGCCAGCTCGCGAGCGTAATTAAAGGTTCATTAAAATTTATTGAACTCCTTGGAGCGGCGGTGCTTGCGTTTCACGCATCAACGATTTCGGTATGCCCATAACGCGATGGCGGGGATTAATTAAATGTTATTAATTATCGTTAACGCCGTTGCTAATTGGAGCGGAATTATCCTCGTCGGTTCCTCGAGATTTTTGTGCATTAACATTCACGGGAATAAACGTTATAGACTCGACCGATTCAATTTGAAGTACTAACTGCGAATCATTAGTCAATTTCAGTTCGAGTCCATTTCTCATACGAATGAATGATCAATTAATCTTCCATTATCACGTTTCTAGACTGCTCTCGTACCTTGATCCATTATTCAAGTACTCGCATAAATACCAATTTAAAAACCTCACATTATCTTCATTCTACGTTCACTTCGTTAATTCGCGTTTCATCTACAAGCTAACGAATCCCTCCATCGACCGGTAAGGACTTCTTTAACGTCATGTCCCCGGCAATCCTTTCTAATTCCATCGAATCCCCGGCAACCCGAAAACTCTCGCATAAATTTTTCAGCCAGCTTCCCCAGCCCCGCTGCGCGAAGTAGACGTATTGAATATTCATCCGCGCCGGTGCACACAGCGACGGGCCGCGTTTTCTTCAAAAGCGGCTGCCCCGCAGCCCGGCCGCGATAAACGCGGCTCACGGTTCAGCGAAAGCGATCGCGAGCCTTTTTCGTTCGGCAATTAAACCGTGAGAATGTCGCGCCTCGGCGCATCGCCCGGCAAACTGGTTTCTGGGGAAAAAGGAAAGTTATTTGTCGCGACGTTCGATCCGTTTATAATTAACGACCGACGCGCGAGCCTCGGAAAAACGAGATCGACACGTTAAAAACACACGGGGCCTCCTGCCATTTTATTTTCTCACGTTTCTCTCCCTCACCCTCTCCCCCCTCCTCCTCCTCCCTCGTTTCGCGAATCGAACGGACTTTCTGGTTTCACCTTAACGCGCCTCGTTAAACGATCGTCGATCGGAATGCTCTTTTTTCAGCTCTCGATAGGGCGAGAGAAAAACGCGTTCCCCGGCGTGCCGTATAAATTTTGATCGGTGTTTCGGACGGAAGAAACTTTGCTCGAGTTACTTCCATTCGGTCGTGAAATGACGCCGGGAAATTGATATCAAAATTCGATTCGATCCGAAAAGTCGGCGAATAAAACGTGAACGGTCGATGGTTTATAGGCGGGGGGAGAGGGTGGGGGATACTGTAGGAAAAGTGACGCGGAAGAACATAACCGATAATGGCCCCGGATTCATGATCCGGCGCATAAGCGCGAAATTTAATACCCCGGGTCACGGGGAAGTGCATCGAATCCGAAATAACACGATTAGCTGACAATGGAGCCGAGTCAAATCCAGATACAGTAATTTATCACCGATGACGCAAACAGGTGCAATTTCCCCGGTCTTTTTCCCACGGGGGACGGGCCGGGAAAGGAAAGCGCATTTTCTGCTCGAAAGTCGATACCCCGTTGAAATTTAATTGCTCGAACGGTTTTTTCCCTTTTCCTTTCGGGGAGTTTGTTTTCTTCGTTCGGGAGAGGTCTTTCCGATCGAAGATTTTCACTGAATGTTTCGATTAAAACGGTGGGCTATATTTTTTGGGAGGATTGTCGGTTTTCGAGGCGTTTCGTTACTGATTTAACGTTTTGCGATCGAATGCTGTAATGGCTAAGGTTTGATAGCTAAACTCGAAAGTTGCAAATGAATAGTTTGATTGTTTATATAACGAGAGATAGATATGTGGTTTTCTTTTTTTCTAGCGTTTCAGACTTTAACCCTTTGCGAACGGATGTAGGCATTTCGGTGAGATGAAATGTTGATTTCGAAGACTAAGTCGTGGAAAAATGATCTAATTAGTCGAACAGGAAGAGATCACGTAGTTTTCTTTCTTCCTATTAATTAAGCAATTGATATATAATTTAGCTTCATATGTTCAAGGTTTTGTATGTTTCGAAGAATCGTCCGCAAAGAGTTAATACGTAATTCAGCTGTTCTTTAGGCAAGTTTTCATATGCTCCGAAGATTCTCGTCCGCGAAGGGTTAATAAAATAATTGGGTTAATAAATAATATGTTACACGTCGCTAGAGATAATGGGTAAATCTTGTGGTTTTATCGTTCATTTAATTGCCGTGGCTAATAGCTAAAATGTCCCGTGCAGATAATAGAAACGAGCAAGAAACGCAGCCTTATCGGGCTGTTAACGATTGCTGGAAGTTAAAGAGCGCGCGCAAACGCCGCACAGTATGTATAATAAATAATAGAGGAATTCAACGATACTAATTCAAGAACGCATTGGCGGAGCAATTGTCCGAGTGGTGCAATAGGGGTTGGAAAACTGCTAAAAGACATTTCTTGGGGACAAAATGCTCGAGCTACCTGCGATTCATGAAAATCCCCGAGTAAGGTATTAAACACGGAGCTAGAAAACCTCCCGATCAAGCCAATAATTTCGCTCGAGAGGGAAATCCGCCGGTGGAGGAATAGTTCGGGAAGAAAAGAAACCCTTTTAAATCAGCCGAGTCGTATCGGTGGCAGCAAATAATAAAAGATCAATTCATAACTTCCATCTTTTCTGCTTTTTCAGAGTTGGACGTATAATTTAACTTCTTACTGAGAAGCATTTCAACCCTTTGCACTCGCCAGTTTTTCACTAGAATCCTTTGAACATTTTCCGATGAGATAAAGGTATTTCGTGGAACCAACTCGAAGAAATCACACATACGTCGAGGAACGAAGCTGATATTTAATATTATAATTTGTACAATGCATCAATTTGAGAAACATTGAAATAAGATAGCTTCGTTCCTTGATGTACGTGTGATTCCTTCGAATTTTATAGTTTTGCTCGAGTGCAAAGGGATAATTCTTTAACCCCAGATTTTCGGAACTGATTTAACGGGTATCGAATCTTTCAAACATTATTTAGAACCAGTTCAAGTCGATTTTGATTCGTGCAATTATACGAATACGCGTTGTAACTGGTTTCGGAGCTCTAATTCTCGCGATCTATATAAACGACCACGCAGCTTTCTAGGCTAGAATAAAGTGTAGAATGGACGTTCGTAAGTCTATCGTGAAAAAATACTCTTCCAGAAAGGGTTAAACGCAGCTCCCGCAAAAGCGAGAGAGTGTAGAGCGAGTTTCCTCGCCGGGACCTCCATAAACGGGCCACTACACGCTGCACAATGTGTTTCTAAATCGCGGCGTGAAGTCGACGCTCTCGTCCCATCATCTTGGACCACCTCGTCCAACGATTCATCCTCGACTCCGACGTCCGTAACATTATGACCCTTTTTTACGAACCGCCTATCGAAACTCCATCACCGAAGTGACTCGAAAAACTCGAATTAGGGATGATTCCTGGCAAGTGTAGTGCTCAGTTCAACCCCTTGCGAGCGTATTTACATTGGACAAGGGTGTTCGGTGGTTCAGATTACCTCTTATCGAAAACAGATGAGATTCACCATCGAATTTTTGACTTTGAACGCTTCTGAGATAAAGATTCTTGGTTCTACTTTGTAACCCTTTGCCGAGAGGTGACTCAGTAAAATGAAGTCTTGTATATAATATTAATTCATTAGTAAATCGTATAAAGCATCGATAGGAACATTGTAATAAACAGTTTTGTTCCTTGATTCGCTATATATTAATTAGTTTCAAGAAAACAGATTATTCCCAAAGAACTTTCAAAGGCTTAACCCTTAGCAGTCCTATGTCGAGTCACACTCGACATTCTATTCTATTGCAACCTCTACCTGTTTTAATAATTTTTCTAAATTTATTTGTGGTATCACAATTGTACCATTTAAGGGTAACATTTCAATGACTCCCAAATATTCTTGAATAAATAAATAGAGCGTCATATGAAGCTGTAATTGAATGAACTAACGTCGACGTGAACCTTAAAGTGAGAAACCAAGAGCACTTCGGACCGCAAAGGGTTAAAGATCTCCCAATTTCCCACACATACCAGTACCCAAGCAATCTCCCGAAAACCAAGGTCCCAACATCAAGCAGCAAAGCCAAACAGCGAAGGGTTAAAACGCTGCTCCGTCCGCGCGGTCGAAAACAAGAGCGATTTATCAACGCATTACATACCTCGGACAAGGCGTCCTCCATCATATCGCTGGTATCTCTCATGACTCCGAATGGAAACTAGCACGGACAACAATCACTCAACGCCCACGTTTTATCCGTTTCCTCCTTCGCCGGTGTGTCTCTCGCGTTTCTTCCCTGGCGTCCGCTCCGGAAAAAAGGAAACACGCGAGGCGAACTATCGGGGAACCGAAGGAACGCAGCCCCGAGAGAGAGAGAGCGAAGCGACTCGAAGCTAAGACGAGCGAGGACACCGGGAGCACGCCGACCGGCAGGTACCGATTTCCAGCCACGGCTTGTCTGTCACGAGCACATTGTTCCCCCGCGATCGCTCGCCGAAAGGCAGTCCGTTTAAACGCATGTAACTTCGCCGTTGGATCGATCGTATCGCAACGTGTCACTTCCCTTCCCTCCCTGCCCGTCACCGCGGCCGCTTCACCCGGTTTTCCCTGCGGAGAGGAGCGAGCGATCCTGAAGTGCCAGGCTGCGTCTACCTCCGAGCCTCCCGGCACACAACGATAGTCCTCTTTTCCCCTCGGTCCACGGTTCTTCAGGTGTTTCACCGGCGATCAGCCTGCGACCACGTCCGCCACGACGAGTCCCACGGATGCTGTCCGATCAGGGGGATGAAGAGAGGGAGAAGAGAGCAAGGGCGAGATAGAGTGTCAGCTCGTGGCGAGCACAACGGGCTCACGAGAGGATCGCGGGACGATCCATCGGTGTACGCGGCTATGGAAACACTGGCGAGCACTGTCAGGTAAGCCAGGGAGCAGGTCGACAGACAGCCAGCAGGCCAGACCTGCCTCCATGACACTGCTCCCGTCTTCTTCTACCCCTCGGCCGGCTCTCCCTTGCACCGACTGCTTGCAGCTGCCTTTCCTCCCCACCAGTTCCGTTTCCCCTACAATCCTCTCCCCTCCTGTATCATTCTATCCTACCCTCTCTGTCTCTCCGAGTGTCCTCCCTACGCTTCCAGCTCCCTCCTCGTCCGGCCAACGCTGGAACACGGTGAGGCTGCACTCTTCCCTCCGACACAGTCGGCAACCTTCTGCTCTCTCACTCTCTCTCTCTCTCTCTCTTCCACTCGCTCCAGTGGCGCTCGCGTGCTCCCTCTGGCCTCCAGCGTGCATTTTCCTGCCGTTTCCATGTCCCGCGGACTCCCACCAGCGAGCTTCTCCTTTCTTCCACGGCTCTCCCCTCCACACCGACCGGGAACCACGAGTTTCCCGCAGACGTCGGACGCGAACGCTTCTTCCACGCACCGGAGACGTCGACGAGATGCAAGACCGCGGATTTCAAAACGATGATATGCTTTTGGAGAGGTTTCCTTGGTATGGGAGGTTTGGGGCTGGTTTCGGGGGTTTGAGCTTGGTGGATGGAGGGTTGATGAGGGGATGAGGCTTAGGGGTGAGATTTTGAGTTGAATCTTTGAGAGATCGAGAAGCTGTTTTAGGGAATGATGGAAGTGGATTGGAATTTTTAGGACTGGAATGGAGAGGAATTAGAGGATCTCGCGCAGTTTTACAAGCAATAGGATGAATGGACGAGTGACTTTCATTGGCAGTAAAGTCAATTCAGCGGAATTGATCACTCGAGGAAGTAGGGAGCTCGGTATTTCGAAGACTTATCAAGCTCTGTAATAAATTCTTGATTCCTCAATGCCTCGGCTTTATTGTTCAATCTTCTCCTTCATTCGATAAACTTTATTACTATTCCAATCGCACACTGTATTCTTTATTATCTAATGTTCAATATTCGCAGCACGACCTCTGATATACCATCTACGCCGAATAACGTCGAAGATCGTTTCGAACAGTCGTTCGATGTTAATACAATAACGATGCACCGTTTTGATAGTTTTAATCGATAGGTAGAAAATACGATACACGAGAAAAAGGTGGATAACATCGCAGACGAGGCAGATTGTGCAACGCGAAAAATTTTTACTGAAAAAGGAGCGTCCTCCGCGGCACTACAAAGCGGTTCACGCGTCCCGGGCGCAGGGCCACGATGCAGACGAACAGCTGCTATTTCACCTGTTCGATATATTATTTAAATGCTTCACCTGCCGCGATGTCAAGATACCGCGAGATAAGCCGGGGCCCGTTGCGTTTCCTGCTTTCACGACGATATCACGCGAGATTTGCGGGTCGCAGTCCCATTCCCGCGAAGCTTTTTTGCGTTTCGGTCGTGCTCGGGAACTCGCGAAATTGATCGCGTAATGGCTCGCCGGGCTGCCTTTTTTGGCCGGGAACAACGACGGCTTAACCGATCCCGGGAACGGGCCGAGCCGGCCAGCTTCATTCACTGCGGGAACTCCGGCTGAATTTTTTTAATAAGCAACTTTGTCCTCGGAGCAAAATGTTGTTTGCCTGGGAGATCGTGATTCATTTTCGAGATCGATTAACGCAAGAACTACCCTACCGGCGAGTTATTGCTGTCGATTCTTTTGTTGTGTCTTGAAAACGAATATTTGACATGATCTGGAAAGTAGTTGTACTTGGATATTGTAACGAATGGCTGAAAAAATCGGAAGTAGTCTGTTGTTACAGGTTTTATAGGGATTGTGTATTAATTGCGTTATGTGCTTGGTAGTTCTAGGGTTAATTAATTTTGGGGATTTGACTTTTTAAGGATGAGGAGTTTGAGATGATTGAGAGATTAACCCTTTGCATTCTGTAGGTGCCCATCAGTTGCTTGATTTTATAGAGAAAAGTTGTGAAGCTTGATATTTAATATTAGTATTATTATTATTATTATTATTATTACTTTAAAGTTACCTTTGAAGGATGTCTATGTTTCATCTGAAAATATGGAGTGCAAAAGGTAAAGTTTCTTTGAGAAGTTTTAGTTTCTCTATGAAGTCTATGGAACATTTAAGAGTCAGTTGATTAACGATAACGTGAATATTAATAATCAATTGTACAATATTTACTAAATTCTGCTCTTTTATTATGGCGATCTTTTAGATACATGTATTATGTAAGATTATTAAGTAAAAATGCAATTAGAGTGTGCAGATATTTAGAAGTTATATTAATTTACGGAATAATCACTTCAGTCTTCTTTAATTTCCAAAGACTCGATTGGTTACGGTTTGTTGGCGTTCAGAAAAATTGCTCTACGATCCAGTCCAATTGTAATCGGACTAATCTTCTTAATGTACCTAGTTAACGGTTCGGAATCGACTTCCCCGACTTTATGGTTCCTGGCGCACGTGATGAAAGGAGTGAACCCGTCGCCAGCACCAACTAAAAATGATGGAACCACGATCCTGTACCACTCGTCATCTACCAATTTCTCGAACGATGGTACTTCGCAAGCTCTACATCTAAAGAATTGAAGAATTAACACAATCGTATCTCAAAACCTCGCAGAATCAAGATAATTAACGCTATAACTATCAAACGCCTCAAAATGACCCATTCGCAATGATTAACAGGTAACAGATGTTTCTCTGAGAAATATTGTAACAAAGAATTATAAATCAAAGTCTCAACAGCTGCAATCTTAGAATTTCTATATAGAAATTTCGAAAAGTCACTTGGGCTGCTCGGTAGTTTTAACCCTTTGCACTCGAGTGGTGACTATCACTCGCCACCTGATTTTATACAATGAAACTATAAAATTTGATATTTAATATTGTACCTTGTATAACTCATCAATTTGAAAAATATTGAAATAAAATAGCTTTGTTCCTCAATGTACGTATGATTTCTTTCCGAATTAATTTCACAAAATATCGCCTTTATCTCATCAGAAACTGTTAAAATATTTCTAGTGAAAAACTTCCGAGTGCAAAGGGTTAATATTAAATTTAGATCTACCTTATTAAAACTTCCAATACATTCCTCGTATCACCGGACATGTCGTAAGTTACTTTTAAACCAGACCACACCAATATTCCATTCAGTTTTAATATCTGCAATTACAAATCATTAGTTTTTAATCGAGTCTCATATAACAGCTATCATAGTTGTCGTTAAAAATAATTCCATATCGAGAGGTAATAAATAAAGGAAAGACGCCTGAAGGCTGCAACACTTCGCTCACTTCTGTAGCGAACACTGTTTCCTCTACGTAACCAAGAAAACGTAAATGCTTGATACAACATTGCGAATAACTTTCTGCAAAATCTTATGATTCGAGTGTCACTTAATCCATTCAATATAATGAAGATTCAATTTTTAATAATGTAATTAAATCGCAGCTTCGAATATTATTACATTACCATTGAATTATTAGAATTTCACCATCGAATATTACATTTCCATTGAATTCTTAGAATTTCACCATTGAATATTACATTTCCATTGAATTATCAGAATTTCACCATCGAATATTACATTTCCATTGAATTATTAGAATTTCACCATCGAATATTACATTTTCATTGAATTATCAGAATTTCACTATCAAATATCATTACATTTCCCTTGAATTATTAGAATTTCACCATCGAATATTATTACAATCGCGTTACGCACCTTCATGATGCAAGTCCCGTTCAGCTCGAGGGTGTCCCACGTGTTCTCAAAGGGCTGAGCCATCATCAAGTCGCTGAAAGTGATGTCAGCGCCCATGCTCTCGATAGGAGCGCGTATCCCGCCGGGATTCATGCACGCGACGGCCGCGTACGTCCAGAAAGTCTTGTTCTCCGCCTTCTCCACGTACTGAAATCGCAAATCAAAAAGAGCACAAAATACAGGCCGCTTGTAACGCGAAGAATTTTAATTAGATTCATTCAATGCGAGCGGTAAGAGAAGCAACAATTCTCAGCTTGGTTCTTAATCTAACAAATTGAATGTTCCTCTTTTTTTCAGAAACGGTTGCCTGCACGCACAGAGTCCACCATCGCATCCGTGATTAAATTGCCAAGGTTGCACTCGGTCCTGCGACAATTATTGTTCAGATAAACCTTCGATCGGCCGACCTTGGACCGTGCTTTCTCGTCCACGGCCACTTTCCAGGGCTTCAGAGCCATCAGCATCGCGGGATCTATTAAAAATTTATGCTTTCAGTGCTGCAATATTAAGATCTCCGACGAAGAGACTCGATTCTACGGTGAACCGCTCGTTTCGTGAAACTTAGTACGTTTAATTCACGAATCATCACCGAACTCGCGAAGAACCGCAGGGAAGAGTGACATATAAACTTCCTCAGAATTTCCTATTTCACTTTATATCAGCTACTCTCAATCTATTCAAATGATTTACGAGAGAAATGTAATCTTCTTTCACCGGTCCCGCGGATCTTTAACAAAGCGTACATTTCCGAGGAGACTCGCGATCTAACGTTCGCCATTCACCGCTCGTAAAGCCCGCGTTCTTGCCTGGCGCCGCTTTATACTCTGATTTAAATTCGAAGCTCACCTTCCTCGATAGTGTAATCAAGAAGAATCGGATTCCCGTCCCAATCAACCACCTCGCCCAGCTCGTCGAACCACACCGTCAAGTTTCCCAAATACCTGGCGCAAACAACGGAACACTTCGTAAATCCGCGAGAAGAAAAACACTGGTCTCGAACTTCCGAGCTTAAATTTTACGCGAAACGAATTACGAACTTGGTGTACGCGGCCGCCTGCACGATCAGGACCGTTCTGTTCGTGTTCTTCTGGGTCACCGCCACGGGATACTCATCTTCGGGGTTGTCGATGAAAGGCGGCGGACCTGGAAACGCGATAATTCCTTTCAATCGCTTTAATGAATTCCTCGTATCGTTGTACTTCTGTAATTGTACTTCGTTTTATTCAGACACATTAAGGAAGATTGTGCTACGTTATTATTGTGGTACGTGTTACTCGTCGGAAATTAGTGGAAGTAGATTAAAGAAGCAATTTCTGTTTGAGAATAACGGGAACACGAATGCAACCCGGCTGCGAAAAGGAGCACTGATGGTACTATCGTTCGACGAGTACTACAATCTGCCGAAGGCTCATTAAAAAGTCAGCGTAAGACTTGAAGAGCACTCCTCGTTAAACTTTCCTAGAGTTCTGGGCGCGGTTAACTTGTGACTTTAACTCGTTTAGCCGGAATGGAAGTCTGAATGGATGGAAAACCACGTTCTGTGAGTCGATATTGAAGAGAAGATAGTGAAGAGCTGTGGAGGGAATGAATTTTTGTCAAAATTCTATTCATTCGAACGATTCAGAGAATCCTTTTACATTCAAAGATCTGCTACAGTCTCGTTATTAAAACATCGTATTCAAAGAAATTCAGGTTTATCAAAATTAATTAAAACTATGACTCAATAGAGATTCTGTCTTTATCACAAATATTAATTAATCGCAGAATCAGATCTCACAGATTGAAATATATTAATTCCTGATCCTCCTTATCTTCGTAATTCGATTAATCGCAGAACCCAATCGCAGAGATCCGAGCTTGTTAATTCCTCGAACTATTACCCATAAATATTCAACTTAAAAAGACTGGTGTAAAATGATTCTTCGAGCATTCCCATCACGTATACTGTTCCCCATTACTTGCCTGTATAAAGGAACGTGTGCGAGTGTCCGCCGACGATCACGTCGATTAATGGACACTTGGCGGCCATTATCCTGTCCACGTCCAGACCGCAGTGACTTAAAACAATGATAATGTCCACCCCCTGGGACTTCAATCGACTCGCCTCGGCGTTCACCGTTTCCACCTCGTCCAGGAACTTCAATCTCCCGGTAACGGCAATTGTCTGGCAATTTGTGAGTTTCAAATTAGGGACCATTACGAAACGTCGGAGTCATACTTCCGGTTAAACGGCGGCCTTCAATCCCCGCGATCGACGAAGAGCCGCGCGATTATCCGCGGCGACGTTTCAGCTTCTTAGAATCAATTCGATCGCGTCGATCATTGCGAAACGAAAGGTCCGCGCTCTTCATCTCTTTGTTCTTCGTTTTTCTTTTCTGTTCCCTGTTAGGCGGGAAGCTGAAGGATCGCAGCCTTGACACCGCCATTTTCGGTCGAGCGAACGAAACGTTGTTCGAAGAAGACGGCCGAGCGACGTTGATCGAGACGTCGGGACAGATGTACGAATTAACGAGAATCTTGATTGAAGAGACTCGAGTGGTTTCAGTATCGATTCGATTATTCCGACGGACGCACAGAACGATACGCCGGCTCCTACCGTGCCGGCGCGACGTGAATCGATCGCCATTGTTACGGCACGCGTAAAAATGGCGGGTCAAAGAGGAACGGGCCCGCTTATCTCGCGCGTATTAACGGGCGAAACGGCGGAAGATATATTCGATCGAGAATCGAGTTAACTTAATACAGACTTTTTCGTTGTTTTCTCGTTCCGCGCGTTGCAATTCTGCGGGATTTGTTGCGCGCCGGAAAGCGGCGTTCATTAATTTTTATCACGGCGCGGCAGACGATTAAAGGGAACGTAACATCTTGCGACGCAGGCCCATTTATATTCCATCAACCTCGGTTATAAAATATTCAGCGTGAAAAAGAGAAACGTAAAAATAATTTTCGAGTCGATTAAGACGAAGATTCGCGGCGATTTACGATACGTACGTTCGTTGTCGATAAAATGACGCCGATGACCCCGATCTTCCTACCGTTCCTCTCAATGATCGTGCTGTTCTTGTAGAGGCCCTGCAGCAGAAAACAATTTTGAGAGAGCGCTCGCTCGAGATCTTAATCGGTCCACGAACCTCCATCGACGGTTCCTCGCTGGCGTCTATATTAGTGACCACCACTGGTGCCTTGACGTTCTGCAGGAATGGCACTACGCCCTGGACACCGTTATCGAACTCGTGGTTCCCTATCGTCTGGAACAAAAAGTTTGCAGCTTCATGATAGAATCAATGCATAGAATCGTCGATGAACAGAGCCCGATCGCGTCGATCTTAATACTTCACTTACTAAACATTTATTAACACTAGAACATTTAACATTTTCTCACACTTTTTAACACTTCTTTATAAAATCTAGAAACGTGAACTGATTAAGATTTCAACTGGTTTATATTTCAGTTCGGCTATTACTAAATCAGCTTCTTTAATCATTTCTTAAAGAAGTGTCTGTACCAGTAATTCTAAAAGAAGAAATTGTTAAATATTTCGACCTCTGGTAGTTCTCGTGTTAACAGATCTCTCAGTGTTCGTATTATATCAAACTGAACTAAATAACATTCTCAGAAGACATTATTATTTCATATTACACAAGACGACTTTGTTAGTTTGAAGTTTCCACTAAAGTTCACTAAAATATCCTTGATTACTGATCTCCAGAGGACCATTGAATTATCGTCGATAGATAAACCGTCGATCGATCAATAGAAGTTATATCGAAAATCCAGATCAAGTACATTCATCGAATGAAATTCGAACGAAGATGCAATATTCGAACACGCATTTCTGCTACCGAGCATCCGCGGTCTCTTCGGAGCCGTAAATGGCAGTTATTTCCTACTCATTCCGTTTCCATCGATTACTTCCGTCCGACTTATCCTGTTTCCGCGAAAAGGCCCGCCGTTTGTTCGATTAACCGTACGACGGTCCATGTCGAAACGTTTTTATCGTTCGTCGAAATTCACCGGCTGATCCGTTCGATTTTATTACCTCCGACGCGGGTACCGTCTTGTTAAGTAACGGAACGGCACCGTGTTCGCATAATCGATCGTTAAACCCGTTTGACCCAATTAGCCCTCTGCGCACGAGGGTCTTTTGGAATATTAAAAAGCTTTCTTATAGAACAATGTATCGTACACCGAACTGCTAAGTATCCACCGGAAAACAACGAAATTCACCGATCTTTCGTAGCTCGTCTAATTTTCATTTCTAGATTCTCGGTTTCTTTACTCTATTCCGCGTGTCTACTCTTTGTTTCTTTGTTCTTCGGTCCGTTTTACCATCACGTCGTGCGGCAACATGTTCATGAACACCGCCGTCACGTTCCAACGATGAACGTTGTACCATAACGTTCCTTGGAAATGGTCACCGGCGTTCAGGAAAATCGGATTTGGCCTTTCCTTGATTAATTGATTCACCGCAGTCGAAACACGTGCGATCCCGCCGATGCATTCTTTCTCTTCCTCCTCGTGGCACGCGCCTGAGTGCGGGCCCGTCTGCTCGAATCTAAAACGATTGAAGAATTTAAAGGAAATGCTGAAGGTTTCATTGAAACACTAGAGAAATGGACATTATTACTGAAGAATTTTAACCTTGATATTTCAGCGAATGACTAAATTAAATTAGAAGAGTCTGTCACGCAAAAATCTCCATCGGTTTTTCGTAGAGTCATTCTTTTGTAGTAAAGAAAAGCAGAAATAATTATTAATTATTTAATGTTACAATCCTTGCATCACATAGTCACACTAAAATTACCAGACAGGTCAAAATTACCATTCCTGAAGTCTTCTTTTTGCTTCTTAAGATAACAGATTCTCTGAGAAATGGTTAACGAAATAGATTTACCAATACGCAATCTGAATTGCAAATCAACTGAAGTCTCGATAGCTTAAATCTTAGAGTTTCCATAGAGAAACTTCAGGAAGTGACTTTAGTCGAACGGTAGTTTTACTGTTAATCATTTTCATTCGACATCGGTTATCTTGCACGTTACGATTCTTTTCAAGTAATTCAGAAGCGTCATCGACTGACATGGCGCTTAACGCGTTAAAGTAGCTTCTTATGAGTCATCAATTAAGAACAGTGAGACTTTATAATTTCATTTCCCTCCGACGATAATTAACGAATATTCTACTACGACTTCGTTATAAAACGTTGAATTATTCGCTCGGAGATTGTACATTCCCTTTCTAAATGTTATCCGATGATCATCAATTACTCAATTCCATCACAGAATAACAACCGCGAAGCGAAATTTCGTTTTCTATGCCACGCACCGGCGCAGATATTGGGTAACGATCCTCGTGTATAGAAAAAGTAACGATTAACCCAAATCATTTCCTCCTTGACCCTGTCGTTTCACTCGGCGCGTCACTCGCTTTCAAACTTTCCGATTCCCCGGGCCTCGGGTCGACGGTCGTTTCGCTCCTTCAAATCCAGACACTGAATTCACAGCGATCGCTTCATCAACGTTACCGTTATCGATGCATCGCTGATGATCCCCGGCGATCAACGCATTTATCCGCGTCACGACGCGAACGGCCGGATCGATCGGGTAATATCGAATTACTCGCCAAATTTGAATCGATCGGAGGAACATTAACCGCGCACAGAATGTAAAGATTGATGTAACCAATAAAAGTATAATTCATCGCGGTTTAAACGGAAATTTATATACGGAATGATCTATGTAAAAATACCAGTTGAATGTCCAATTTGTCGTAAACCTGATTTATAATACATTATACGCATTAATAATGTACTTATCGTGCAACCATCTCGTAAACTGTAATAAGCGTTTTAATTATATTCTTATTTAAATTTACGTTTTTAATTACATATATATTTAAAATTTATGTTCTTCATCATAATTATCTGTAAAAACAAAAGAAACATCTGCCATTCCCAATTCCCCAGGTTAATTAATTATTTACTTCCCCGTTGATGCTTTAATCCTTTAATTTCGTATTCCAAAGAAATAAAAAATTTCCTCGATGATTTCCTCGATAATTCCCTAGAACTAATGGAACAAGCGTAGAACAAACGTCCATAAATCAGTTAAATTTTATTTGAAATCTCCATCAAGAGTCCCACGCGACATTACAGAGCAAGATGTTAATAAACGTTCACAGTCGTTCAGGAGGATTTCCATAATCGTCGAATAGAATTTAACAACAGACGCAGCAGACAGGAGAAATCGTTTCGATCGCGAGCGAGCCGCGCACGAGGATAATTAGCGGAACTATTTTCAATGACCCGGTTTCGTGATCGCGACGTCATTCATGTTTCCATTGAAAACGGTTGAATGAACACACGTGGCTTACCTGGCATGGAAATCGTTTAAGTGTATCACTGACAGCTCGAACAAATCCGATCGCCCCGGATAATAAAGTCCCCTTCCGGTGAACGCGCTGGATAAGCGGAAGAGAAACAGCAACAGCCAAATCGCGCGCATCGTCGATCAGATTTTAACGCGACCCTTGCTTCGTTATCCACGCGAATCAAACATAAATCAGCGTCTCTTCTCCCAACGAACCGTGATTCCGATGGAAATCAACGCCGATTCATCTTGATCGGTCCGATCGAGGGAAGATCAGTCGATTGCCTGTCGCAGAACGAAGGATAAAGAACCTTGTTATTTAATTATGAACTGACACCCGTGCATCGTTATCTTAATAACCGAGAAATCGGTATCGCAACGATGCACCCGTGTACCGTGCCGTTAAAGGAGGATCGAAGGATTCGCCGAAGAAAGATTTCACGCGATCGTACAATAATTAAGTGGAAATTAATTATTCCCGTGTATGTTTCTTCCTTCAATCTCGAATCTGCACTCGCCCCGTACACCGTTGCGACTCTGTAATCACGTGGAAAATAAAATGGCCGTTCGAAGCGAAATGTATCGGCTGTCGCGTAAAAGTTGTTTGTCCGCGTTCCTCAATTAACGCTGAAAACGCTTGCTCCGCGCACGCAGAACTGATAACCTCGTTAAACGAGAATATTATATGAAAAGATTTCATTGTGCCGCCACTAATCCTAGGCTTATTAGTGCGCTGATAAGTCCGCGCAAAGGAGAAGGCTTAGCAACAAGAGATTTCGTCGCTGTTGAATATTTCCTCGTCAAATAAGAAGGAAAAATGAATAAAAGAATTCTTCGACAAGTTTATTTAGAACGTTTTGCGACATCGAAGTTATTCCTACCGTTAGCTGCCCGTAATAAAATTTCAACGAGGGTTTCCGCGGAATATCGTTCCCGTCGTTTTAACGTTATCGAGTTATATGCTAGCTGACATACGCCAGCTTTATCGGGACCGATTGTGACAAGAAATTCTGACGTATGAATATCCTTGAGAATAAAGCAATTGCCTTTTTGTTATTTTCCAGTAATTACGGAATCGTTATCGATTCGACCTGGCCCGATAACAATGAAACACCCACTTGTGCCCAAGCGACAGGTTTCACGTTTGGAAATACGATTTTATTTCAAAACAACGTATGCATTGTGCAAATGTTTCAGCCATTCCCGAGCGATTTTTCCAATCAAACTGTCGAGGATTTACACACCGATCGAACAAGGAAAACATTCGGTACAGCAATTTTCCTGGTGCTCGTAACGCAATAATACGAATCGAAGCTATCCGAGCGTTTCCTCGAGAACTAACTCAATAAACACGTTTCGGTAAAGGTGGCGAGCAGATTTCGGTGAACCCGACATTTTTGAGGACTAGTTAACACGTGTCAACGGTAATTTGTAATTGTAATGATTCCATTATCGCGCACTTCTGCCCCGTCACTGAACAATCACGTGGCACTTAACACGAAGCAGGACCCCCCTTTCGCGATTACGTCGCGGTTCACACTTCAACCGCGGAAAGAAGCAGCGGGAAAACGTCGGCGAGACAATAGAATGGGAGTTCCGGGAGGCGGCGCGAAGTAATGGGCACCATCCGCGTCACGGGGGCGAAATCTTGACGGGACGCGGTCGAAATTACGCGTGTAATCGGCCGGCACGACGGGCAGGGATCCGTAATTTATCAGTTAGCGGGTCAATTAATCAGAAATCGAGCGTGAAACGCACCTGTCGGCCGCGAACGCTCGGCGGGGACTGGCTGCTGAAAAGAAGATCTATCTTGGCGCGCCTTCCACGGCGAAGAGACTCAATTATCGGGCGAAAAGAGCGTTATACAACGGCGTCGATAAAGATCGTCGCATGGAAAACATTGTCATAACGTTTCCGTCAGACTGTGACGAGTCCAAACAAAATTATCGAATTCGTCATGTGTTGCAGCGAATTAAGTCTTAAGAGTAAGAATAACAATTCGAACTTCCATGTTGAATCGCGGAGATCAAGACTCGTGATCGTCATCCATTGTTTAAGTAGGTTATTATTTGGGTTATTGTTCATATCTCTGATAACACCTGTGGAGAACTCGTCAGTGATACAATTAAATACAATTTAGTTAGCTTGTCTAGAGGAGCAACGGTCAAGGAGATTTTCTGTTATCTGATAACGAGAGGCGTTTGTTAGGCAGATTGTAGGAGAATCGAAATGGAATGTCTAGTAATTAACCCTCTGTAGGCCCATGTAACTTTGAAGTCACATGTCAGTACATTATAATCTTGTTGATTTATTTCATTTTGCGCTCAAAGTGGCGAGTAAAATTAAGTAACTTGAAGGTTACAAAATATACTCGTTTGATGAAATTATTGAAACTATTGAATATATTGTTAACTCGTATTCATATGTGAATATTTATTAATTTTCTACTGCATAGATTTTGTTATAATCACGAACAAAAATTCGGCCCATAGAGGGTTAATACACATATCTAGAACTTGAAGATTTTTTGTTGTTTCTTATTGACGAGTGTGTAGATGGTTCAGCGTGATAGCGGAAATGATGTTGCTTGTGGATGCAATGCGATACCCTAGATCTTCGAGGCAACGTGCGACGTCCACGTCGGGAAGAATTCTTCCGAAGATCTTTTATCTTCGCCGATAGTGATCTACAAGGATGAGGATGCTCCCGGAGCAATAAGAAGCGAGGTACAGGGATAAGCAGCTCCAGGGGCGATTGGTCAAGAACGGATTCAGCTATTCGAGGGCAAAAAGGGAAAGATTTTGGTGGGGGCTGCGTTGGAGAAAAAGGAGAGAAGGTCGGAAGAATTTCAGACAAAAGGAACCTGTTACATACGATCCTCCGGCTCCTTTCGCGGGATCCCGTTCTACCTGGTTCAGTCCGCGTGAATCCTTTGATACAGCAGCGTCTGGTGTAACGAGAAACTGAGCTTCGGGAAAATAGTGCAACCCCTTCCACGTGAACCTCGAACGGTGGTGAGCTGGACGATAGAATCGTCGATTCCATTCATTCTGGTAATAACTGAATTCTTCAGGAAATAATTAACACTAGATTTACGGACGTTTATTTTATGCTTTCTATTGCTCCTAGGAAGCTACGTGTTCGTCTATATAAATCGCGAAAATTCTACCTTCGACACCAGAGTATTGCGATGGGAATTCGCATAATTGAATCACAATTTCCATCGAATTGGGTTCTGTGAATCTAGCGTTAACCCTTTGCGGACGAATGTCTACATTTCGAGATGAAAGTTTCGTATTTAAAAAAGTCGTGGACGAATGATTTGATTACTCGAACAGCAAGATATCAGTATGTAGTTTCCGTTTTTATATTAATTAAGCAATTGACAAGTAATTCAGCTTCATCTGCTGAAGGTTTCGTATATTTTATAGAATCTCCGTCCGCAAAGGGTTAAAAGTACATGAGAACAGTAAGACAAACTAAATTTCAATAATGTTTTCATCTAATTTTCAGAATGAAAATAACAATAGAATATTAAAGTTTCTATAGATTTATTATAGAGTTTCCATAGACTTCCAAAAAGTCAATTGCACGGTAGTTTCAGCGTTAATTGTATAATTTCCCTCTGTTGAATCGAGACGCGCCTTTCAGTAGCCATTTGATTTAACCGAACGAAACGATAAAATTTCAAATTCAATATTAAATTTTCCATAATGCATCAACACACGGAACATCAAAATAAAATGTCACTTAATTTATACAAGGTATTTCCTTGTGTTAGTTGCAAAGAATATCATTGATATTCCATCAGAAAATAATGAATATTTCTTGAGAAAAATATTCTCGAGTTGCGCAGGGTTAATAGATACAGATTTCGTTCCAAGAATGTTCTTGTTAAATAGGAACTCCGAACAATTAGGTGAGTTATGGGCCTTAAATTGACACATTTGTCATCGCTCGTTTCATCGATCGCTAAGATCAACGGACAGAGCCTCTAATTTATTTGTCGAAGCTGTCGGAAAACCAAGACAGCGGTTTAACCAGTTTACGTAATGTCAGCTTGCCAGCGCTCGAGCGGAGGAATTATACGACGTCCAGCCGCAGTTCGAAGGCCACGTTTACGTTCACCTGTGCATCGTCGGCTAAGTGGCCGGCGATTCTCCCGTTTAGATCATCCCTCGATGACAAGCGACCATGATCGTCGGAATTCGAATATAGAATGACACTCTTGTCAGCGCGCCAGTGCAACGGCGGCCAGTCTTCTCCGACGTCCCGCGTCTCCTCGAGGAGATCTCTTTGACCATCGACTTCGATGTCCGCGAAAATCCCCGAGCCGCCTCGATCGCTCGCGAATTGGCCCGGCTTCAATTTCCACCCATGAAACCGGCGGCAGCCTTTGCAACCCAAGCGGCCATTTAATATTTATGACATTTAAGAACGTGGAATTCGACTCGGCGCGTTCCTAAAGACCCCTGGTCACCGTTCAAATTGTGAAATGATCTTGGAAATGCATTTTAATTTCGCGCTGACTACCTGAAGGACCGAACTGACACATTTTGGGATGTCCAGTTCGTCAGTATTTAAATTCTGACAAGGTTTTCGCGAAGAATTGTCAAATTCGTATTTGTAGATGGAATAAGACAGCCATTAAATCTAGGGATATATTGTTCTGATTTGTATAAAAGCTTAGAGATGAGTCAAATTGCTCGGTAATATGTTACGGTTTTAATTAGTTATTAACACGTTGACTGCCACGATGGTCACCGATGATTGGAGCTTCCAAGTTACTTGAAAACAATTATAATTCGTGAGATAACTGTGGTTGAATGAAAATGCTTAGTAACGCGACTTGATCATAGTGTAACCTAATAATTGTGTACCAAATAATTCATAATTGTTCATTTCATTTTCACTAGAAAGGAATAAGTGACACGTGAAACGCTGACGTTTTTCATAGCAGTCAATGTGTTAAAGTCTTTGTCTAAGAATCTTTAGCAAGCGATTTCTCCATAAATCGTCACTGTCCTGGATGTTTGATAAATCCTGAGTATCCATGAATTCGAAGAATGCGCTATGAACGTTTACATCGTCTGCTTCTTCGCAAGAAACCGGTCTATTCTAATTGCAAGAGGAAATCGATTTTCGTACGGTTTGAGGTTCATTAAGCAGGTAATTATCAGCGAACGAATGGAATATTCCCCGAGCATAGTTAGATCCCCGAGCGATATGATAAGCCGAGTCTCGAAACAGGTTCGTCACGCAAATCGCCGCTGTTTCATATGCGAGACTCGATTTTTCTATGGAACAAGGTGCAGAAAACGCGGATAAGTTATGCAGATTCCATCACCTACGCCGCTGGCCGGCAACCAGTTCACCGGCGTTGAAAAACTATGCCACGCACAGAACTAGTTTTTCAGCTGGCGTTCGATTTAACCGATCCGAAATCGTAAATATCGATTTATCCGTTTCTCCGGGGTGAATTCCTTTTGTTTCGCCAACGAGGAGCTTTATCGCGCGAATTACTTCCGGCAACGAAAATAAACATTCGTTAACCAATTAACCGAAATACCATTCGACCGCATAATATGATAATCGTTTATCTTCCGTCTTATCGCTCGGGTATTCTTGAAAATTTGTTTACATTCGCGCGTCGTTTCTCGTATAAGCGCATTATCGGAGAATGTTTACCATTGTCGAGTAAAATAATGTACAGGCGTGCGTAATTAACGAATGACAGTCGTAGAACGTCTTATCGTTGCACCGAAATAACCTTCGAAAATGGAGCTCGGGATACGACGGTGTTCGAGTTTCACGGCATTGTCCAGGTGTATTGATACTGCTTTACGCGTGGAATTCGTCGGGACACGTAGCGTTCCGAACTATCGAACTCTTGAAGCCCGGTTAACAATTTGTGCGCGCGGCATATCAGCAGATAAGTAGCAGTTTCCCAATGAACGAGCCAGATAACCGAAGCATAATTTCTACTGTTCGGCCGCGTTCACCTGCGTGGACCCGGGGCATTGAAATCACTCGATTGATAAGAGCGTTGCGACAGAAAGTGACTCCAGAAATAGAAAGTATCTCTCACGAAAACAATTCACTCAATTCCTAACTGATACGGCTCGTGTATCTAAAGCGACTCAAACTGGAGCAGTTTCAAAGTCATAGAACGCGACACAGAATTTTTTCGTAATGGCTTCTCGAAGTGACAAAGTCTAGTTCGACATTTTTCTAGTAATGATTGCACATTAAGCTCTTTGCTATTTCAATGAATCATAGATTGCCCTAGTTTTTTACTTGCTCCGTTTATCTAAGAACGAAAGCGCTTAGTTGTGGCAATCGTGGAACAATAACACGATTATCATTATCGAACGACGATTAACCGGAATACGTCAATGTCGGAAACACGAAAATGTAACCTCGAAGGTGACTCTTTTCCCTGGAGGAACGAAGGGTGCGAATACTGTCAGGCTGTCAATCTTATATACAACCCATTAGCATAGACAGTGTTCTTTTATTGACCTAGTTCTATAGACGTTCTTGTTGCAAATTATTCTTCATGCAAATTTGAGGATTGTTTCTTAGAACTGTGTAATTTCATCAATTTACGATATCTAACGATTGACAAGTGAAACTATATAAACGTTATCTTTGCCAAAAGGCGCAAAACTCACTGAAATCTCGCCTTTATCAGGATATCAATGACAATCTCCCTTCAGTTCTCTTCGTTCATCCAAAGTGAAAAGTCAAAGACTCAGAATGAACGTCATCATCCACTTTTCAAGCATCGTCGCACAACCTTCACAGAAAAACCCTTGAATCCACATTTTCATCGGTATCCACGTCCACTTTAATACTCCATATTACTCAGAAGAAGAGGAATTCCTGTGTTTTGTTAATAGTTTCGAGTGGTAACCGTAGCGAATATTAAACCACTATTGAGAATGATACAAGAAAAGATGAGAACTAACCATTTAGATCCTCTTTATCAAATATCTTCCTTTGAGCAGTTTTGTTAATAGTTTCGATTGGTAACTGTAGAGAATATTAAATCACTATTGAGAATGATACGAGAAAATATGAAAACTAACCATTTAGACCCTCGTTCTCAATTATCTTCTCCTAAACAATGGATCCAGATTGATCCACCAACGAATTCATCCCCAGAGGCCAGCAGTCAACAACGAATAGGTGAAAGTACATGAAAAGACAACCGTGTCGTCAAGAACACGAGTCCGGGCACGATAAGTTTTCTCACCGCGGTCGATCGGCCGTGATCCATGTCGCACGGAGGCGAATCGCGCGCGGACACTGCTTCCTCGAGCTTCCGCGCGGGCGATCGCGTTCAGTCGGCGCTTGTCGCTCGTGAAAATCGGTGGTCCCGCGTTCGCCAGTGTTGCGTTGTGCAATCGGCCAGCCGATTTCGCCGGTAAAAGCCAGTCCACAATTGGCATCGCGAGATCATCGGCATTCTCTCTTTTTCCCGGCGGCTAGACGCGTATTTTTAGAGCGGACAGCTACGATTCGCACGTCCCGCGAACGGATCGTGCGCTTCCGACGACGTGCTGAGATGTTTGGCGGCGGTTCACACACTGTAGGTACATAGCAATAAGAATATCGTGTTTATTTCGTAAAAGAAGAGGTGTCGATAACGTGTGACAGGAGGAGTATGGAAGTTAGGGGACAGTTGGGTTTCGTATTCTGCGAGGATCGGATCAAACGATCCTTTATCTCTGTATTAGGTCGATATCGATGGTTTGTACATTACAATTGGATTACAGAGAAGTTATTTGTATTAATTGATTGTCGATTTTGAACAAATTTGAGTCGTTAAGAGCGAATGAATCGTGGAAGTTAGGGGATAGTTGGGTTTCGTACTCTGCGAAGATCGGTTTAAACGATCCTTTATCTTTGTGTTAGTTCGATATCGGTGGTTTGTACATTACAATTGGATTACAGAGAAGTTATGTGTATTAATTGATGGTCGATTTTAAAAGTATTTGAGTTGTGGAAGATTAATGTAACGGTAGTTCGATGAACGGCGCGTAAGAGTTGAGCGTCAACTACCCAGTACGCGGATCTGTTTGTCCTCTGTATCATCTGTTGAATGAGAAATTGCGATAGACGATCTTTGCACAGTTTTAGAGTATACCTTCAGTTTATCTAAAAACGAAAGAATCAAGAGAACGTCTCGGTTAACCGATTTACATTTCGAAACACTGTTTTTGAACAAAAGAGAACTTTGAGTTCTTCCAGTAGAACGCGTTTCTAGATCGTATTGTTTTCATTCTCTTATCTCGTCGCTTGTATAGGTCGACGATTTATTGATATCTTCCACTTGCAGACTTTATGACTACTAATCTCAACGATCAAACAATATTTAATATACTCACCAATGCCACGAACTTACAGATGCTCGAGTTCGAACATGAGACCACGTAACTCGTTAAAAATTATTGAGCTTGAGATAGTATTTCAAAGCGATCCTATACAGCCTCGCATTGCAAATAAGAGAAATCCGAATGCAGAGATAAGAACTCCGACGTGGAAACGTCCCGTCAAAAATATCCTCAGGTGTACAAAAATGATCTCAATACTAATATTCTATATTATTTCTCGCCTTATCTGCGCCCATTGTTTCGCGTAACGATTGCACACGAGCGTCGCACACAGCCAATTAACCAGTAATCAGTCTCACGGTACCCACGCTCGGCGTAAATTTATTTGCACGCTAATTCGTCACGCAATTCGATCGAAATTAATATTGACAACTTCACAGCTGTTTCCTCGCTTCGAGGTGTTTCCGACAGAAACATTTCATACAAACCTTCCATCAGTACCATTAAAATAAAACGGTGAAGTCGGTGAAATTCCTTTAACGATCGAGAAAATCATCTTAAGAAACGATAATCAAATCGAAGCGATCTCATGAAAAATTGAAATTCAAAGTTTATCGTTTATCTGCGTTCCTAATGTGTCCCAACATTTCTAAAAAATCTGCCGATGTCACGTTCGAAAGGAGGAAAATGCGTGGTCAGACGTGCGAGTCCTGAGGAATTGCAATGAACGGAATTTATTGACGTCGCGTTAATGCGTAAACCATTCGCGTAAACTTCATATCGAGGCTGAAGAATTCTTCTGACTGATTAGTCTCCCTTTTCTTATCTAATTTTCTGTTGGCTTTACCTTTCTAATTTCTAACCATCTTGACCATCGATTGTACATCGATACGGTTACATGCAATCGATCGCAACCATCAAACGGTGAACTAGACTTCGTTAGCCTTGTAGTATTCATAAAACTGTAAGCTAGAAACAAGCCATTTCCCAATTGTGCTTGTGTCGCCGTTAATCGAGCGCGATCGAGGTTCATTCATTTGTATCGACGCGAGCCGAGAAGTGGGGTCAGTTGTTGGCACGAAACTCTGTTAATGTCAGCGACTTCGGGCTCGCTGGCAGCGGCCATAGTTTCGCAAGCGCCTCTCCGCTTCCGGTTCCAAGGCGAGAATGAATTTTACTCTACTCCTCGGCTTCGCCGCATCAATGTCGCGTCATCTTCCCGCGCTTGTTTCGTCTTCGAATTTATGCGCATTGTTTTCTGCTCGAGGCCTCGTGGATCTCCTTTCATTTACGGCTGTGGAGACGTTTTCTTGGCCTACACGCATCTCCGGGCAAGAATTCGAATTGCCTTGCGACAGAAACACGAATAACCGTGTTCGTCGACTGTGATTAACGCTAGAACCGCTACACGTGTCAAAATGACCAATTTCTGGCTTCTTCTTTGTGAAATATTAACAAGATAACAGATTACTGAGAAATAATTAAAGAAATCGCTGTTCCTTATAGAGGAATTTCAAAAAGTCTTAACTGCGCGGTGATTTTAGTGTTAACTCTCGATATCAAGCGGATTCAGTCGTCCATTATGAAATGAGAGATAATGTATCGATAAGTTTGATGTTGTCAAATGATCTTTGATAGAATAAAGTATTTTTCTTCTTCGAAAATGTAGTCCCTTTTCATCGAAACTAGTCACTGACTGTTTGTTTGATAATACACTGCAGGTAATTATTGCAACAATTGACAAAGTCTGCTTAGGAGCCAGTCTCAGCTGTCACACTGCGATGTTTCAAAGAGTAGATTTGCATAGAACGTCGATGCTATGCGACAGTACAATTTTTTATTTTCGACAGCCACGGACTAGCAACAGAACGCGTCAGTTCAGCTTTGAAAACACGAGATAACGAAACGAGGCAAGAAATTCGACGAGAGCAGATCGAAAATGGTAAGGGTCTGGATCGCAATTTGTTGCGCCGTCGCGGCTTTGTCCAATGGGGTCGTCGGTAATCCTGTTCCGCAGGAAGATGGAGGGCTCACCCTCAGGATCGTTCACACAAACGACATGCACTCGAGGTAATCCTTCTTCTAACGAAAAGAATTTAAATCAGATTTCTAACTCTGAGAAAAGTAACCGAACGAGGCCAAATAAATCGGAAGCGACGATACTATTGTTACTTTCTTTTAACATTTATTTGTAAGCGCAGATATCCTTGAGAAACGGACTCGGTCCTTTGTACTTGAAAGTGAACAAGATTTCACCTGTCAAGTGATGCTGGTTTCCTTAAAAGTTTACTTAACAATAAAACTACCGTGTAGTTACCACGTTCAATGTTCCATATATGGTACACGAGAATTTCTGTAAGAAAATATTAAGGGACGGTGGTATGTTACAAAGCAGCGAGACAAAGGAACAATATCAAAGTATATAAAAATTACCAAGAACTTGAATATAACAAGATTTCACCTGTCAAGTGATGCTTGTTTCCTTAAAAGTTTACTTAACAATAAAACTACCGTAATTAACACGTTCAGTGCCACATGTACCATATATGGTACACACGAATTTCTGTAAGAAAATATTAAGGAACGGTGGTATGTTACAAAGCAGCGAGGCAAAGGAACAATATCAAAGTATATAAAAATTACCAAGAACTTGAATATAACTTAATATTTTATTGAAAGAATCCACACAGTTCATAAAGTATAAACGAAATTTCTATGGCATGGAACGTGTTAAATTGATCTTCGAAATTCCTCTACAGAAACTCCAAGAGTGCATCTGTTCAGACTTTAATTGATTGTCAATTCAGTTTGCGTGTTGGTAAGGAGGAATCAGGACAGCGTCATTTTGACTCATCCGGTAGCTTTAGTGTTACAAATATTTTTATTATTGGAAATATCGAGTGTTTCGCGTGAAGCACGTAGTGAGCAACGATTCCTTGAGCCGAGGAAAAATAGGGAACTCCTTGCAACATAGCCGCGTATTGCGACATATTCTAGTCAATATGAAGTCAGTCGTACTGCTTCTGCCACGCGTCAACGCTAATTACAAACGGCCTAATGGTAATTAACACCGGCCAGAGCTGCTTAATGTTAATTCCCCGCCTCGTATCGAGAAGCATTCTCTCTTATTCTTCGTAAGAGTTCGTAAATCCCCTGTTTCCAGCGATACATTTCGCTTGGCCGATGTTTATCACTATTTTTTCACCTGATTTACCGCGTACGTCCGGTTTATTTTTATTTCTTCTTGTTCCGTAGTTAACGAGATGCAATCGAGACGTTAAATCCTATATTACTCTTGCCTGATTAACATTCAGCTTACTGTATCAATAATTTTTGCCTCATTATCGTTCGCTTCGTTTGAATAATAAGAATTTCTTGATGTCCCTTCAGCGATTTGATTGTTTAATGCTTCCTTAACCCATCGCGGCGCACCGTTCCTTCTTTCATTGTTTGTTTCGACTTGTTAATGACAAATCGTACACAAAATCAATTTACATGTTATCTAGACTGTTACATTATTTTTGTTCAATGTATTACTGAAGAGTAAACAAATAAATGTATTAGTACAGTCCGTAAAATGGACGACTATAGCCGTCGTTTGCAATGAGTTAATCGGTTACTTTCATTGTTCTATGCTAATACGCGTGATCCTTTTATCAAGCTCTTGGGGTACTATAATATTCTCTGCTGGTACAATTGGACCGTTATAAAAGGCATTCTCGTCTTCAGATTCGAGCAGACATCGAGATTATCCAGCCTCTGCTCGCCGAAGGATGCGAAGGAAGGGAAATGTTACGGAGGGTTCGCGAGAATGGCAACCCTTATTCGACAGGCGAGACAATCGTCTGTTCCTTGTATCTTTCTGAACGCAGGGGACACTTATCAAGGGTCCATATGGTACAACGTCTACAAATGGAAAATAGTTGCCAAGTTCCTCAACCTGTTGGCTCCAGACGCCGCGGTATGTTCGAAAACTTTTATGTAACACGTTCGCTACCAGCGTCGAATATTTGTGACAGGCGGATCTTATATTTTACATAAAATAATAAAATTAAGCTTATAGATGTTGTTACTTCAAGTTATAAGTTACGGCGTTATATTTGGGAACTCGATAACTTGTCCCAGTTTAATTTTTTCGAGATTTTGTTTAGAAGATTTATCGGATTGAATAAAATATTACAATTGAAGAGAAAATAAACGCTGGTAGCGAACGTGTTAATCCACGTCTCCTGTCCGAATACGTTTCAAGTTCGAAATGAACGTCGATACACCACTTGTGCCCAGCATATTGTCCATTGAATTATACAGTACAGTTTAACCCTTTGAACTCTGTAGGCTCCAATATCGCACAAGTTGTAATATTAAATATTTTAATGAATCTTAAAGAAACTACCCTAAAATTATTCGATTTTCCACACATCCAAATTTTGTATTAAGAAGGAAAATAAAAGATGGAAGAAATGTTATAGCATTTCTCATTCTCGCTAGGAATACTATAAAAATTAGTTGCAGTTGCTGATAGATTGCAAAACAACCTGAAGTGCTAAGGGTTAAAAGGTTCAGCTGACATTTGTCCGAAGAATATTCTGTTTAAACAATCTAGATTTCAATACTTTGAAATGTCAAATATGAGAACTAACGATTCGTAAGATTCTGACTACAATAAGTCTCAGCGAACTCTACTGTAGCGAGGAGGAACCTCTCAATCGCAGTCTAATGACCAAACACTTGATAAATTAGCCATTGATTACGAGAACCACCACTGTTTTACCAGACAACGACGCAGTCGAACAGTTACGACACGGTTCTTACGAAACAATATTTCTGGCCGCGAATTGATGTGTAAAAACTGCTCGGTTCGAATATCGCTAGTCACTATCATTAATTCGTAGAATCATGATCTTAACTGGCGAATGATTGGTTGTTGCCCGAAGCGATCAAAATTTATTCGGTTAGATGACGCGAATACCATAAAGAAGGTCGTAGATCAAATAATGGTAACGCGACTTACGAAACAGCAACGACAAAAGAGTAGCAAGAGAAAGACGCTTTAACAATGACAGTGTCACGCAATTACTCGAATAAACGAAAATGTTTCTTCGTTCAGAGTCTGGGTAACCACGAGTTCGACGACGGAGTCGACGGTCTGGTCCCGTTCATCCAGAACGCGTCGTTTCCCATCGTCACGTCGAATCTCGACCTAAGTAAGGAGCCTAAACTAGCAGCCACCAACCTGTTGAACAGCGTCGTGTTGACGGTTAGCGGAACGAAGATCGGCGTGATCGGTTATTTGACCCCCGACACCAAAATGATCTCCCGCACGGAGGAAGTGATCTTCCTGGATGAAGTTGAGAGTATCCGCAGGGAGGCGAAGGAGCTGAAGAAGCAGGGTGTCAACATCCTAATCGCTCTAGGACACTCCGGCTTCAGCGTCGACAAGAAAATCGCGAAGGAAGTGGAGGACATCGATCTCGTGGTCGGTGGCCACACCAACACGTTCCTTTACAATGGTAAACAGCCCGACCTCGAAGTACCCGAAGGCCTCTATCCGACGGAGGTGACGCAGAAAAGCGGCAGAAAAGTGTACGTGGTCCAGGCGTACGCGTACACCAAGTATCTCGGCAACTTCACCGTGAAGTTTAATCCCGCGGGCGAGGTGACCGAGATCAAAGGCAACCCCGTGCTGGTTGACAGCAGTATCGAGCAGGTAATTAATTCGATTAATTACTCGTTTTACCCTCCTTCGTAGTGGTTTGCAAAATCTTCGATAGAGAGTTTAAGCGGCACAAGATAATTAAAACACAACCCGAATCTACTTGAGAGCATCGCATCGTTCGCTGTTCGAGTACGTAAATTTTAATTTACAAGACGATGAATTAATAAATCTCTGACAGTACGATCGAAATCGCATTACGATTAAAAATGATTCACTAACTGCTGGAGTCCTATTCCACGTAAATCAATTACAAAAGTTCATAAATTGCCGATGGAAAACGAGTAATTCGTAATTCATGTGTCGAGTAATCATTTAAGCGACTTCCCTCCATAGGCTTCGTAGGCGTTTCGGGGCATTTTGACGCAGACTGTGTCTGTCCTTTTCGCACTCCCGTGAAATCGTATGTTTGTCCTTGTCTAATACCTCTATACGCATTATGTGTCCCGCGTACAAAATCGGCTCTGAAGTTACCAAGAACCGTATGAAACCATGCTTTCGAAGTAGGTGGCACGGTATAGATGAAATCTATCCTTGTCTCACACTCTGCCTCTCCTTTTCTACGGAAGTGGCTCCATCCACGGCAAAATGCTCAAACTGTTAGCCAATTGGTGCTGCATCGTCAACGCCAGATGGCGCCAGTGTGAAATCACCCTGATACCTCCTTTGCTTCATGCTTCGCGCATAGGTACCAGGGACTGATGAGATGCTTTTTCAAAGTAGGTGGCATCCGGATTTCTCTCTCTCTCTGTCCTTGTCGCACAGTCACTCTGTCTTTGTCATACTCGCGGTGATAGGGAGAAACATTCCAAATTATCCTCCCCCAGATGGCGATTCTACCGCGTGTTTCAAAAATTCTCTGTCCTTGTCGCACAGACGTTCTTTCCTTGTCTTACACATTACGGAGATAGGGAAATGCATAATATAGTCTAATTGAAAATTAAACAATCGTGGAAATTAGAGAATCACTAATCGGTATGGTATGTTTTTATTATTTAACGGGGTAGAAGGTATGCAAAAGATTTTTATTAGTAGAATAATGAAAGCACTTTTTATTTTCTTGTAAATATATGAGAAAAATATGTTACTGTTATGTTACATTTTTTTGAATTGTTTTAATTGTTAAACAGGCACAAGATGTCTTGAATGAGCTGGAACAAATGAGGGGAGCAATTGATAATGTTAGTCTGACAGTGGTTGGGAAGACTCGTGTTCTTCTCCAGGGAGACAGTAAAATCTGCAGACGCATGGAATGTAATCTTGGTAATTTGATTACTGATTCCATGATCGATTATAATGCTGGAGAATATGGAGGCAAGGATGGTTGGACAGATGCTGCTATAGCTTTGCAGAACAGTGGAAGTATTAGAACTTCCATCACCAGAAACAATGATGATATAGTTACCATGGGAGATGTTCTCAGTGTGCTACCATTCAACAATATTATATTGAAGGTGCAAATGACTGGGGAGCTGATTCTATCTGTTTTAGAGTGGAGTGTTTACAATTTAGAAATAGATACGACTACAGATTTATTTGGTGCATTTGTACAGTTCTCAGGTCTTCAGGTATTCAACTTTGCGATGAGCATTGTTTTTAGTTAGCTTAAGTTACAAGTCTGGTTTTATGTAAATACTATTAATCTCACAGGTAGTCTACGATTTAACTCAACCAAAAAATTCAAGGGTGGTATCAGTACAAGTGCAATGTGCATCTTGTAGTATTCCATCATATAGTGAACTTAAAAGAAATGAAACATATACTGTACTTGTTCCTGATTTTATGCAGACTGGTGGAGATGGATATGTTATGTTAAAGGATCTTAAGACTCAATCATTAGGTATGTTACATATTTTTTATTTAGGATAACATTTTCAATGAATTACGAGTATGTATATTGTATGTACTTTATAAATTGTTGAATATATTTTACTTCAGGTATAACTACTGCACATACGCTTGTTGAATACTTTGAGAAACACAGTCCAGTGCATCCAAGTGTTGAATGGAGGATTAATTATGCAAATAAACAGCAATTCAATGGTTCTAATAAGTTATATGACTCTGTTGGGTTAACAATCTTTTTACCAATAATTAGCTGGTTACTTTTAAGATAAATTAATAAGTAGAAATGCACATTAAGTAGGTAGTCGGGATTTAACAGTATTTGAAACTTAATAGTCTATATAATTCGAAGCTCTTTTATGTGCATCCTATCTACTACTTCTCTACCTCAAATTGCATAATTTAATTTTAAGCTTTAGTACCTAAAGATTTTATTTACCAAGTACTTTATAATAAATTGGTATAGATCAATTGGCGCTTTAATTAATTTTTCAATTACTAATAATCTCTAAATTTTATAATTTCTGGATCTCTATCAGTTTGTAATTAAAAATATATAAATATACCACAGCATACATATATTTATGTAAAATGAGTATCTATTTATAATTATATATATATACATATAATATCATATGATGAAAAAATCCATAAGCATCTGCAATCTACTTATAATATGTTAATTGTTGCATTAACATTGTAAACAGCAGTCTCATGAAAAAGTTATTTAAGAAATCAGACTTATTTTTTCTTACAAATTGACAATCACGATTAATATAAAATATACAGAAAAGAGTATATTTACAGTTTAGGAATTTCAAATATATTTCCTTGTGAGCAATACACTTGTTTCAACGTTTCTCTCACATTGAGCATTTCCAGACAGGGCGTTGGTACTAACTTATGTAAAATTTTAATCATTTTCAATAAGTCGTTTAAAATATAAGGTTTATCCGCTGTATTTCCCTCGGTAACAATATCGACATATGTGTTGAATTTCCTTAATGTCTGATTAAGTTTTCTCAAGTCTTTGGTGTTTTTAACAAAACTCTATGGCCAAACATACAAAGAATAAAATTTATTAAACTGATAAAATCTTACTGACTACTTAATTATTGAGTGACTTACCGCATACGGTTTCATATTATAATACAGTGGCCAATCTTCTTGGCATGCTACACAATTACAGTCAAAGAAATATCTCTCTGAAAGTGCTCTTTGCCTTTCTACTTTTGAATTGAGTTCATGACAGTCACCATAATTATCAAATATCTTAAAGGGAAGAATTGATATTGGTAACTTTATAATAATATAACTTTTATATAATTATTTAACAATGTTATTATATACCTGTTCACCTTGTTTAATGGGACATAGTACATAAATAATTAGATCTTTACTCCTTGAAAGTCTCATTACATTTAAAGAGCAACTGTGATTAAACAAACTGCAAAATGGCAAAGCTGCAATACCACGTGTAATAGTGTCCAGTCCATATTCCTCTGTGAACTATACAAGTACACTATTCAATTTTGAGTTTTCTATTAACAAGAGAATAAGTAGTTATTAAGTTACAACATACCGTATGCATATTACTAGGAATCACCTGTTGATGTCTCAATATGAGACTTCCCACAAATAGGACATCAGGATTTTTCATCAATACAGACAGATCTTTCTGTAATGGGCTTCCAAACATGTCAGTGCATGTTGCCAAAAAGTATAAAGTGAAACAAGCGTCTAAAGATTTTCTAAATAAATCATCTACCGTACGTTTTTCACTATTGGTTACAAGACTCAATATACTTCTGTACTGATTACTTTCGAAAATCCCATTCTTAGAAAAGCCTTTTCTACGTAGATCTGAAAGTTTTGAGCATCAATATTGTTGTTTTTTAATAGGAACATTTATAATTACTGTAGAAAATAATATTGCAAATGTCTTTGAATCAAATATTTCTTTTCTTGCTACTATCACTTTTTTAGCTTGTGGAAAACAGATAGAGATATTCTTCTTAGCATAGAAACATGTATAACAATGTACTCTAATATATTTACCCTTCTCATTTTCAACATCTTCCAATTCTTTTCTTAAATCCTGTATACTGCTTTCTCTCACAGCTTGTATAGCTAATCTTAAAACAAATAAATCCAGATCTTTTAAATTTAGTTTTAACATGGATGGAACTACTAAGCATTCAATGTCATGATATTTCTTCCAATCTACAGCCTTACATTCTTCTGAACAATACATGGCATAAGTACAGTTATTACAAGGTATGTTCGCCCAGCATACTTCTAAGCAGTTTGAACAATGAGTATATGTTTTTTCAATACTTAATAGTAAGGAATAAGGTTTTTCTATACAAATTACTTCTCCAGGATTTATATTGCGGGCAGCCACAATGTGTCTGCCATATTGATCATTGTATTTCAAACTTATTGCACTTGAAGCACATGGAATCTCAGTATTATAAGTATCTATTTTAGGCAAGAGATATTTAGTTTCACATTTTATAATATCTTGTGTCTCAAAGTTACGTGATCCTAAAGTCTTTTTCAGAAATGAAAGTTTATCATTTAATTTCTTGTAATTAGTGTCTTCAAAAGACATTTTTTGTAACCATTGTTCTGTCTCTTTGATGGTATTTTCTATATTCGAAGACTTCAAAACCTCCAAACATTCTACTTTTCTTATATAAACTTTGATTCTTAAACGATCAGGGTATGATAATGATAAAGCTCTATCTATATCTTTAATACATTCTTCATACTTATGTAATTTAAACAAAACTGCAGACCTATTGGCATATGCTAGAGCAAGCTGCTCTGATAAGCATGGTGCGTAAGCTATACTCTTAGTGTATAATTTTAAAGCTTTTGTACAAGAGGTATTTGTCAATGGGTCAGAAACAAATTCCTTGTTACCTAGTTCTCTGAATTTCTCTGATTCCTTGGGATTTTTGGTATCAGAATATGACTGTGGAACTACACCATACTCTAACATAAGGTTAAGCATGAATGTAACCCTTTTCTCATCCGTTGATAATGATTTAAATTTTTGTACAACATCTTGGTGCTTATTATTTGCATTTATTTTTGTATTTAATATGCCTATTATTCTTTCCATTTCCTTCAATTATAATATGTATGATAATCACACCTCTACCATAGACTGTAAAAGGTAGTGCGCTCCTGAACTTACATCAGATCCATCTGTAATCTGAACGAGCAATCAGTTCTGTTAAAATTTAGGGACTTTCGTGCGAGGCATCACTGACAATCAGTCTCACCTTCGTTGGGTATCTGTCTCACTCATGGTATTATGCTACGCCAGTTTCCGCTTTGTGATCATGGACTTTTATAAGACTACTCGTTCTCGAAAAAGATAGCTTCGCCGAGACATTAATTCTTTAACTTATTGAAGCCAGCTATCAAGCTCTCCTTGAAGTATCTCGAAGGTAACGTATCATGTCCATCAAACTGCATGATTTATGCGAAAAAATAGTGACATCGATAATCAATAACAAGTTGAATAAAATGGAAACATACCGATTATCAAACAGCTTTATGACGCCTTCTTTATGCTCCATGTGATGTATCTTATCTTTTTTTCTATTGTGAAGAAAAGAAAACAGGAAACCAAGCTTTATCTTTATTTCTTTTATCGTATCAGGTGCAAGAACGTTTGTCCTGTTCAGTTACTGTTATTCCACGATTGTGACAGATCGATCCCAACGAAAACGTAAATAGCATTATTTTTGTTTTGCGTCATATTTGAGCCGAATATTATTTCATTGATGCTGCCCGAAAGACCTTTTTAAAAGGCATTGTTACGCTTTATTGCAGTAGTTTCACTCATCAAATTTACCTGGTTATTGCATTTCTTTATATTATTATTCATATCAATTTGTAGTTTTCAAAGATGCTGAATTAAATACTGATCATTAAAGTCACTCTGTTTCTCAAATTTATTACAAGTATTTAAAAAGAGTAATATTTTCACTAAGAATTTAAATGTTTACATGAAAATTATATATTACATATTCTTGCATACAAATCGTCTGCAGTAAATTGTTGTATCACGTGATATTTTTATATAAAATAGAATCAAATATTATTCGTTTAAATTAATTGAATTTTAAAATGATCACCAGTCTTCTGAATAATCTGCAAAATTAACAATCATTATAATTATGAACCTGTTTAACAGTGTTATAAATGTTCAATGTTATATATGTTTTAGGACAGATTTTTTTAATGGAAGGGCAAACACATTAAGTCAAAATGGAGGGTCCATTAGAAGTAAAAGATTCTGCTCCTGGAGCAGAAGAACCCATAAAGTCCGAAGCGCCTGTGCAGAATCCTGATAGTAGTGATCGGAGTGACGGTGCAGTGTCACCTCCTCCAAATTGTAGTATTTGTTTGGGCAAACTGGTGAATACGTCATTTACGGATAGCTGCCTTCATCAATTTTGTTTTACATGCCTCCTGCAATGGTCAAAAATAAAAAAAGAATGTCCACTATGTAAACAAACTTTTAAGTCTATCATACACAATGTTAGATCAGAAGAAGATTATGATCAGTACCATGTGCCTAGAGAATTGGCAACTTTGGATATTAATTATGATCTTGGGCATCCCGTGGATGTTATTGGACATCAACGTATTCATCATTATAGGTATTCTATAGAACTATGATTCTAAATAATTTTATAATGTATATAATCTTACATAAATTATTTCAATTTCTCTTAGAACAACTATGACAGGGCACCATCGACGTCCACATGAAGTAGTGCTTAATCCTGAAGAAGTAGCAAGAAGAGCACAAGTGCCAAGTATAGCACCTCAAGTTCCCATAGGAGAACGTTTACGTAGAAGAGCAAATCCAACTGATTATCGTCGTACCATTTATAGGCATGGAATTTGGGCTACAGCATTACCAGATGTATTTGGTCAGTTTCGTGAATGTAGTGCGGATTATTATCGGTTAGTATTTCTTTCCTTTGCTTTCCTAAAAGGTCAATATGGATATTATAACAATGGTTCATCTACAGGAGAGAGCCAAGGGAACTGAATCGACTCATACCTTGGTTAAATAGAGAATTACAAGTGCTACTTAATAACAATGCATCACATGTAGCATATGTATTAACAGTTATATTGGGTGCCCTTAGCCAGTATGACATTCGGAGTCCCGAATTTCGAGACATAGTACGTCCTTATTTTGAAACATTCACAGATCACTTTGTACATGAACTACTCAATTACGCAAGGACTAACTTTGATCTAGTTGGATATGATCAGTCCGTGACCTATTTACCGCAAGGTATTTTATTATAATTCTACTTTGTTATAAATAATATTTTATACTTTTTACAAACTAATAACACGTTGTTATAGGATTATCAAATGAGTATGTATCAAATGTCGTATCACCTGCATCCAGCAGCAGCAGTATTAGTTCTGATGATTCGGACGTCCGAGTTCTGGATGAAGCAATAGATCTCAGAACGAATACTGTAACGCCAAGTGCAGGACCCCATGCAATAAGTGTACCTGGTAAATATTAATATTTTTATAAAACTTTAGGCACAAAAATTTAGAATACAGTTTACAGTATTTTTTTTATTAATTAGGTCCTAGTACTGTCGGACAAATGTTCCAATTGGATATTCCGTACAATGTACCGGACGTTCTAACTATTTCCTCTGATTTCTCCTCGTCGGACAATGATTGTGAAGTAATTGGTTACGTAAAACCTCGCCACGAAAGAACGCCGGAAATCATAGAATTAGTATCTTCAGATCCTGAAGAAGTCAATGTTTCTCAAGCATCGAACGAAAATGCACAGTAAGTAAACACATTTTTGTTTCGCATTATTTAATTTTTAAATAGATTCTAAAAATTAATCGTATTTCAATAATATCAACAGGTCTTCCACATCTGCTTTTTACGGAGAAAGTTCAATTCAACCTAGTACATCCCACACTATTAAGAAAAGAGGCTCTACCTCATCGTCCACGGAAAGCGATTCCGATTCAGATAGCGATTATGTTTGTAGAAGAAGCAGGAAATATCAGAGTCGCTCCAGGAAATCTAAGAGAAGCACGACCGCTAAAAGACGCAACCGTTCAGGTGAAACAAGAACTCGAAACCGTGTAAGGAATATATCTAGTTCTGGAGAAAGCGACTCAAGGAAAAGGGGAACAAAGAGGACCTCACGCACGATAAAAAAAAGAATAAGTAGCAGTAGCGATTCCAGCTCCCATGAAAGTGAGTTAAAAACAGTAGATGATAAGAAATCAAGGACTTCACAATATTCTACGAAAGGCACCGTACGTGTTCGTAAAGACTTAATCAAAAAAGAAAATCGATATTTGGATGACGAATCGTTCAGCAGCGACGAATCATTTGGTAGCGAATCCGAAGAAGATGCAAGTAACACTAAATCTCGTACCTTAAAAAGATCGAAAAGAGAATATACCACCAGCTCTAGTGAGTTTGATACGGTCAGAAGCGTCAGAGTAACTAGAACTAGAGGGAAGGCTAGACAAGTGTTGGATACAAAAGATCTTCATCGAAAAGAACCAAGGTATAAGGATGATCGACAATCTATGTCCAGAAGTAGCAGCGCTTCCTCGTATGCGTCTCAGAAACAGAAGAAAGTCAGTTCCTGGCGACGAGAATCCCAGCGAGACCGAAGCGACGATGATAGCAATTCGAATAGGGATGTATCGAGAAAGGAACGGATAATATTAAAGACAAAATCGAAAGCAGCAATTCTGAGTACTTCAGAGTCTGATGACGATCGTTTCCGGTCCCATAGTCAGTGTAGCAATTATTCAAGTAAATCATACACGCATAAAAGGAAGTCGAAGCACAAAGACAGGCACAAAAGTAAAAAAAGGAAGCGGTCTAATAGTAGAACGTATAGCTCGTCTATGCGATCACGATTGACTCGACGACATCCTGTTTAAAAATTCATATGTACGCGTCATTGAAACATTCCGATTTAAAGAATGATTCAAACAAATAAAAATAAAGAAAGCAGCTTTTCAGAGACCTTAGAAGCCATAGAAGATCTCAGGGTAACGCCCAATCGAAATTAATGGTATCAGGAGAATGCATTTAATCGTGAATTCCAAAATGGAGAAAGATTATATGATATAATGAATAATCCTTGAATTGAAGATTTATACTGATACTTTTCTAAACAACTGCGCGTGCATAACCTGTAAACAACGATGAAGCATGATGTAACAGTTATTTGCAATTTAGTAGCAACATTCTTTATGAGAAAATAAGAGAACTTTATAGATAAAAGAAAGTACTATATTATACAAAACATGCATTCATACTGTTTCATTCCTTTGCCTTTTGAAACGAAAATGGCTTCCACTTCTGTTATAAAACGAATATATGAAAATTGTACAAAAGTTCCAACACTGGTAGTTTTCCCTGTTTATAATTCTTCAATGTAAATCGATTGGATGGAAAAGGTACCCAGATAAAACGCTATAGCTCTGGATAATGCGTGTCAAAAGACAATGCACATTCTACATAAGTGATGAATCTCCGATTATATGATTATCTCACTATTATCTTCATCAATGTACAATAAACTTGGGTATATTTCTTTACGATCTTAATTCCCAAAGAATGTTTGTAAATATACGTGTATCTTATAAACAAATAATTTAATTAAAATGTTTATACAAACATGATTTTTTGTAAAGTAGGTAAACCTAGAAATGTTATATGTATATTATACATGTTATACGTAAATCATAAAATAACTGGTTTGTAATAGGTAATACTGATTTTCCCTTCTTTCTGAAATTGTTAGATATTTCTGTGAATAATATGAAACTTAAATCATAAGTTTTTTTCCTTTTTTAAAAAAAATTTATTCTTTCTTTTTCTTTATTAATACAGTATGTGTTTTGCTAATATATAATTTACATTTTTGTTTACATGATTCAAATTTTGAATTATGTAAAATGCACTCCCTCTGCATTGAATGCGTGTAAAAGGCTAAAATAAAAATTATATTATGAAATTCAGCATACATCACGATGATCCAATATAAGTACAATAGTTGTTATACCTGATAAAATCATCTATGTCCATAGTTCTAGCACGTTTATTTTCGGCATTTGCCTTTTGCAAAATCATGCTTACCATTTCCTTAATATTAAATCCTTCTACTGCTGTCTAAATATTATATAAAAAGAAAGAATTTTTAAACAATTAAATAAAACAATTGCCTTTATTCATTCTAGAACATTAATTACCTTATTATTAAGACTGCAATGAAGTTTATAATTTTTCTCCAGCATTGTTAATACTGTAGTCTGTTTAAATGCTGCAGAAAGAGTTTTGTTTTTTCTGACAAATGCAATTCGTGTCAAACCATCCCACTCTTGATAATTAATAGGGGGTGGTGGATTGCGTGGTTCTATCCTAACAACATTTGATTCTACTTTTGGTGGTGGCCTAAAATTATTCTTTCCTACTTTCATAAGCATGTCTACCCTTGCCAACAACTGAGTATTTATACTTAAACGACAATATAATTTGTCTCCTGGTTTTGCCACTAAACGTTCAGCAAATTCTCTTTGAAACATAAGGACGGCACATCTGTGGAAAATAATGTGCAGTTCAAGTTGTATTTGTTCTGCTTTTTGCATGTTAGAAATTACCTGAACAATGGTCTATGCAAAAGTAGCTTAAACACCAAAGGAGATGATATTTTGTATGGTATATTAGCAACACACAAATCAAAAAATGGTAATTCTGTCTTTAAAACATCCCCTATTTGGATTTGTAGTTTAGCTTGGTACGGTGTACCTTGTACACGTTTCTGTAATTCAGCTACCATTCTTGTATCCAATTCGCATGCTATAACTTTTTTGGATTTCTCCAATAGTTTCATTGTCATGTTACCAGTACCAGGACCAATTTCTAATACAACATCTGTTGGTCTAACAGCAGATTTCTCAACCATACTTTGAATTATTAGTGGATTTTTCAATATGTGTTGGCCAATATCCGTATTAAACATAATACCTAATATAAATAAATATAGTCATATCATACTTGATAATATCCATTTATTTTTATAATTTAATACACAATTTTAATTTTTGCAAAACGATTCTTAAACTAATATATACTTAATTTTTAATATAGATATTATTTAATGTATTATTCAAAATGTTTCATACCCTGCTTCTGAACATCTTTGTGCACACGGGATTGTTTCTGTGCACGAACTTTCGGCATTTTGTTTGTGCTATGATGAATTTCCTTTTAATGATATAAAAATAATAAATAAACTCTCGATGAAGTAATCATCACGTGTCAATAGTCCACATGGTAAACAAACTGAATTCATATATACAGAAGACTATAATACGTAATGATGATACACATATGTTACACAATTTCCAGCGCCCTCTGTTGGAATGATTATCTATTAAAATTTGTTTGAATATTTCTAGTAAATTCTACTAAATGTGTGGTGTTTAATGTCACTAAATTGTCAGCCTTTGAAGACAAGTCAGTGCTTATGGACACTCTAGTAACACTCCCCTGCCGAGAAATTACCCTTTCCATACTACTATTACCTATTTGATTGAACACTACACAGAACTGTTCACATACACAGTCTCAAGTAGATCCTCGAGTACAAGTAGTGGGGGAACACTGTTTTCGAGTTACTAGCGCGAGGGGATTAACTTAGTGTTGAGCGGCAAAGTTGGTTCAAGTGTTAAGTTTGCTCCGCTTCTTTTTCTTTCCCGACAGAAAATTTAAATATTTCTACATAATAACAGGTATATCTATCAATACTACATGTTTGTTTATCACGTTTCAACGTTAGACATGAAATATTTAATTGTCAAAAATCGATCATAGGTTATAATTCATCTACACAAAATAACTGAATTTTGAATATGTTAATATACACAATAATTGTCAATTCTAAAGATTTAAATGCACGTATTAATTGATGTATTAAAAAGCAACGATCGATTTCTTTTTGTTTACTATTTGCTATGCACGTGTACCGCCACCACATACTTAAGATACGTACTTACAGACGTTGCAGTTAATGGGAATTTTGCTGGAGCTTCAGGGGTCTCAATACCCTGATACCATTTTGCTATCGCGCTCGACGTTATCGGTAACACAAGAGTTTAGGTTTGTTAGCAAGAATCGGATTAGCTGTATACTTCATTTTTGCTCTCTGTCGTATGATTAGCGGTAACTTAAATGATGGAATTCAATAAAACTTCATGACAATGTAGTGTTTATTAAGTCGCAAACGTAAATATTGTTATATGCAATCTTATATAGTGCAGTAGTTGACTGTACGATTCAGGTAGTCTGCTAACGCATCGCGGCATTTTTGTCGGTATTTCAGAACAGTAGACAGATCCATACATTGTACGAACAGTCTGTACATACCTTAAGTCTGCGCTGCCACTGTTTTGTTTCATGTGGATAAAGCAAGATGGTAGCAGTGTATTAAAACCGCTATTTAAAGATGTTTTCTTTTTTATGAATGGTTTGTATAGTTGTAATTAAAAATTCAACTTACCTTATTTCACTTTTGTAATCACAGATATCTGCTTTCCAGCGATGAAAAGAAAAACATTTTTCCTAATCGGAGGAGTGGTACTCGCCACGGAGATTATTTGGCAACTATGCAAAAAGTTCCATGGTTCGCGGAAATACCATACGCGTAATGCAATCGTACCGAAACAAAACATTGCGGAGGTCATGTTTTTCTCCAAAGAGTCTGGTCATTGTCGAGATCATGCTGATGGTCAATATACATGCCACAAAGTGGATTGCCCTGTCCGTTATTTAAGGTAAAATTCATCACTGAACAGTGATTCTTCAACTGTACATTAAATCAAACTTTTTGGGCAAGGGAAATTCCCCTTGTACTAATAGATAGGACCTTATTATAATGTTCCTGGGCCCTGGGCACTTTTCTGTTCAAATTCCATCATTTTCATCCTTTGTTCCTATTAATTCAGTTTTCATACATCTTCTTCACAGATCATGGACATTATACCCAAAGCTCCGATCAGATAAAAGGATTCTAAGGATAGTTGATTGTTGAAAAAAAATTAACGATGGTTCTATGATCTTTTCCAGACGTCTGGAAAGTTACATTAAAAAAGCCGAGAGGAGACTAGACGTCTGCATGTACGTTTTGACTTGTCACGGATTGTCATTGGCCTTCGTGGAAGCACACAAACGTGGCGTACACGTGAGAATAATAATGGATCATCACATGGCCAGCAATGACGCAGCGCGGACAGGTCTGTTTCATAATAATGGTACGTCATTAACGATCGTCACCGGTCGATGGTAAACTTTGCATAGATCACCTCGTCCTCCTAGCGCAAATGTTCCAGGGATCGAGGTCAGAATGCAGAATCCTGAAGTCCTGATGCATCACAAGTTCGTGATAGTGGACGAGGACATTTTGATCACTGGCAGCACAAATTGGACAATGTCCGCGTTCTTCGGAAACTTCGAAAACATCCTTGTGACCAATCAGAGCCCGCTGGTCGAGCCGTTCTTAAAAGAATTCGAACGTATGTGGCAAGCGTTCAGATTTCCCGTAGAGTTCAAATCCGAGGACAATGTGGACGACACCGAAGAGTAACCAGTGATTCGGTGAGCGCATATTTTATCATAATAACGACCGTCGAATCGCGCGAAGGTCCGTGCGAAAGTTATCAAACGTGGAGAACGTTGACGATACAAATGCCGATTGAACGGAATCGTTTGATCGGAGGAGGAAATCGAACGTTTCGATGCGATATTAAAATATCCTCGCTCCGGTGCATTCGATGCAACGCAACGGTGCATGGTTAGTCGGTGTTCTCATCGGCCGATAGAAGTGGAACATTGTACGTGCATATAAATAGGCTAGCCGTATGAAAATAGACGTCGGGCCGTTGGACCGAAGGATCGATGATGATCCCCTGCGACTAGTCGACCAGTGGCTGGACATTCTTCCTCTTTTCTTCTCCATCGATTATGAATTCACGGTCTCCCTCTCGCCTCCGCAGTCGACTACAGTCATTCCTTTCCTTCTACGATCCTCTAACACACTGTTCCGTAATCGAGTTCATCGAAATATTTAAGCAAACCATAGCAACAAACGTATCATCACAGAATCAAACTTAACCGACGATAATCATTCTTTTCCTTCCTTCTCTTACAAACCTTTAGGTTATTGTATATTTAGTTCATTGAAACCTCCAATCCCCCGTTTCTACGATTGTAACCACTCTTCCATTTCCTCCCCTATGATCTTTAAGCACAATGTCCAATAATTTCGTTCATGGAAATGAACTTCTGGTCTCCAATGACCAGCCGTCACGAAACGTTTGCCGAGTGCCACCCTCATGAAAAGGGTCGTGCTCGATCGCAATCTCAGCCCGCTGTATGAAGTGCCGTTCTATTCTAACACGACAAAACGAATTCCAAACGGTGGGTGTGGATCGCAAATAGAAGCCCATTTCCCGCGGCACGTTGGTAACGCTCGCCTCATGCGCGTAGAATCGCATGGGCGAGAGCGTGTAGCGTGTCGAAGTCGGCACCGAGAATAGCCGGACGCCGCACGGAAATAGTAATGCGCGAGCCCGAAATACGCATTGTATCCAGATACGATAAAAGCGGTGGCTCGCGCGTGTTACCTCCGTTTGACGTTCGCCGGCCGTGGTCCCCGAATCGAGTCGATGCAACCAATTCGAGGCGACGCCGCGCGACGGGGGAACACGCTGCTCCTCGACATGTATTTCGAAATGCGAGCACGGGCGTCGGCGATTCCGCGAACGGACCCGTCCGTTCTTCCCCCGAATCGCTCGATAAATCTCGCTGATTCTAACTCGTTGGAAACCTCTTTCGACCCGTTCCCCGAACGCGATTCGCGTCGCTGCTTTCGCGGAAAGGTCATTTCGCGTATTCGAACGGACGATCTTACGGAAAAAGATCAAGTCGATTGTAATCCCTCGGAGTAAATAACGCTGCAGTCGATTTTCCGTTTAATGGGTCCTGTCTCCCGTCGGTTTTCCCTTGCACCGTTCGCCGTCTTTCCCTCGCTTCCGTTGAAACTCGTTTCGTTCCCGTTACGAGCCAAATATAGCCGGTTCGAGGGTGGCTCGCGCGTGACCCTCCGCGTCAGATGAACCAGCGGAGGAGGAGTAGGGCGGTGAGTTTCCTCGCGGGTTAAGGGCAGGTCGGGACGAGCGGTACAATCGCGATATCGAGCGCGTAGTCGGGGAAGATGTAAGAAGGTCAGGGGTCGAGTGTGTTCCGCGGACGATTCGCTCGGCTGCTCTTTTCCACGTTTCGAGATCCGCGGATGAAAGGAACGGGAACGGTTTCGCCCGGGCTCGCCACGTTTCTTCCGCGGAAAAGTGTTATTTCGAAGTAGGTCGCGACAAATCGACCTCGCCGCGTCGCCTCTTCCAATTCTAGCCCGATGGTTCCCGGTATCCTCGACGCGGCCGCGGATCGCTTCGCTTGAAGTTCAAGTCGCTCGAGACGCGCGGGGAAATGTGGTTGGATAGATGAAACGGCCTCTGGCCGCGGTGCAGCGTGTTTCTATGTAATAGCAACGTTTATTTAGATAATGTTTAGTTAGAAAACATTGCTTCCGCGCGTTAAGGAGGCCCGGCGCGTTCGCGTTCGCCGCGCGTTTCTGCCCCTTGGTCTCTCGCGCACGCTGGCTCTATTCGGGACACTCGACGTTGTCCTGTTAACCGGGTGACGCGCTGATGGAGATTGATGGAAACCGGGAAGTTAAGTCTTTCAGCTTCCTCGGAGACGGTACGGAAATAAGATTATGGAGAAAATGGATAGTAAAGAGCTTCAGTTAGCTGCTCCGCGCGTCAACGTTAAAGTGAATTTTCCAATCGGAAACGTGACAGCAGCTGACGCGAAAAGAATTACGCTAAAGGGTGACGGTGTTGGAAATAAATGCAATCCGGTTTCGAAAATTCTCCTTCAATCGATCAGGATTGAACAATCATGTTTATTAAACTTATTATAAATCCTTCACCGTCCGTCTGACTCGATATTACAAGAGGTAATATTGCGAAAGGTTAATTAACCTCGTACGAGCCCCGTGGATCTAGTGATTAGCCAGTCAACAGGTTAGACGTAAATAATAAGGGTCCGACGTGAGTGCCATATAATTAATACTGCTACAGAGAATATGGCGTGATCGAGTTTCGGGTATCCTAAATCGATGGGAAAAAGTGTGACCTATGAATAGAAATTGACGAGTTCACTCGTCCCCTCCCCGGTTAACAGGTTGTAAAACTCGCGTGGACCTATCGCCGTAGACAGAGGGGAGAAATTGATGGCGCGCGGGCACGATGAAGAGCCGCGCCGTATCGTAATAAATTAGCTCTACCAATATTGTACTCCGACGATCCTCTTACACCGGTCGTTCTACTAATAAATCGCTAGAAGAATATATGCGCGCTATGCGTATGCGTACTCTATTAACCGTTCGGTAACGCTTAAATATCATTCTCACAATTTCTTTCGACGTGTTTCACCCTCTTTCTCGATCCCCTTCTCTTTCCCTTGCTCGCGGTCGTCGTGCGTCACGACGACTCCGTTCGATCTCGATGCTCTCTCTCACTCAATCTTTCCCTCTCTCTCTCTCTCTCTCTCTCTCGCTGTTTCTCTTTCCGTCTCTCTGTTTCTCTCCGGTTTAACACGCAAGGCCTCGCGAGGTATGTACATACAGCTAGCTATACAATACATCGTTCCATGTTCTGGACTAAAACGATTAACGTAATAAATTACTAGGAAATCCGCAGTCATTATTGTCTCTATAGTTCGACACCGAAGAAACACCGATCCGCAGTTTACATTCGTGTTCGCCGCAGTCTTAACGAGTATATCT